GGTTCAAGATATCTTGTAATCTCATCTCAACGTCACCTCCATGAATTCTTTCATCAAGAAATTCAGCATGATATACATAATTTCCATTTACATGAATCTCCACCAAGGAAATTCCAGGGTAACAGCATATAAGAAAAGAATTATCCAAAGGCCAAAAGTCTGGACTCGAATCCTTATACGCAATGGATTTTGGAGAGTCAGAAGGAATACGGAAACAAGGATGATATCGAAATCTAATTGTATCACATCTGTGCCAATGTGCACCACTTTTAACCCGAAATATGGTAATACATATGGTAAAATTACTAATACATTCTGGCTTGAATCATATACAAAATCCGGCTTATATGTTGTCTCAAAATTTTGCAAGCGTGAGATATTAGTAATTTATCAATAATACATACCCTTCATCTGATGGTGTTATTGGCTGAATGTTATTGGGTTCTTTAACAGTAAAAGTACGATTAAGATTGTTAAATCCTCGTATCATAATGCCTATTGTTAACGACATAAACGAGTTTATACAAATGCAAAAAGATTGTATATATATTTTTATTATTTATTAAATAAATGGTGGCAAAGATCTAATATTTACCTGAAGGTGAATGTGGACAAGTCAGAGCATGTCCAACTTCATGCAACTTGAATGACATTAGAATTCATTAATATTTATAGAAAAATTTTATACAACCAAAAAAAAATTTCCAATAACACCATACCATTGCACCAATTCCAATATTGCAACACCTCCACCAAGTACCAGACTCATCGTTATCATTTGCCAAAATATTTTCATCAGTTTGTGTCTCATCTTGAAAACAATCCACAACTTCTTCTAAAAATCTTGGCCAGGCATGTGTCGTATGACTACCAAAAATCCCAAGACGAATGACCGAATTGCCACCACCTAAAGCAGCATGTCCTCGGATTAATTTCATTTTAGGATCCCAGTGCGAATCGAGTATTAATCCAGCTACATAACATTGCTTGTCAAAAGGTGCTCCATATTCGTTTAAAGCATCCATAAAAATGGAATAGAAATCTTTCTTTGTGGTAGATGGTGTACCGGGTGGTGGATGATATTGTTGTGCACGTTCTGGATCCAATAATTCTTTTAATGTATATTGTGTACGAACTATGTGAATCTTCGCCGTTTGACGTAAACTTGATTCTTGGTTAGAAAGTGTATCTGAAGAAATAAAAAATTATTTCTTAATAGTAGTATATCTTTATAAATCAAACAAAATATTTCAATATTACCTTGTTGCCATTCTTCTTCTATCCGAAAAACTCTAACCATTTTAATGATTTAGAAAACATATTAATAAAGCCATATACACGATAATATATCATAGTCTGCAATATTGACTATTTACCTCCTCTCAAATCCGTTACGATACATTTGTTCAGCAGTAAAAGCTTGCCATAGATAAGCAGCACACCGAAATTTTGCCTTAACAACATCCAAGCTATTATCTCCAGAAATAACCTTCTCTGGTGAGGCATCAATAACACATTTTGAGTCTTTTGCAACAAGTATAGCCAAATGCAATGGAGGATTTTGTAGCATTGGTATGTAGTTAATTGTGATGACAGTTGTCAAAGGACTCATTCCTGGCGAAAATGGATCAGGATCGAAGGTGAACCGGATGTTGTTTGGTCCTTTATTTGGATTATTAGGATTTTAATAAAAATTTGAGAAATTCAAACTTTAAATAATAAAGACATACCTGGATCAAGATGAACAAGGCACTTAAAATGAGAGTTGAAAATCGGCCAAGTAGTAGAAGGAAAATTATCAGCATTATGCTCAACGGTAATGTTCGAATGATATGCTAAATCTCTAGGACCAGCCTGTCCATATACTAGCAAGATTCGCTGAACAAAGTAAAAATTTAAAAAATAATTAATGATAAATCCATGATTAGTTTAATGATAAATCCATAAAAATATCTATCATAGGAGCATACTTGGTATACAATTTCATCATTTTGAACATTGATTATAACTGGTGCAAGAGGTGATACGCCATCTAAATTATAAATTGAGCCAAATTCTTGAAGGGTTTCTTTTTTAATAATCATCACTATTCGCTAACTTTTATTGTAGACGTCTGAAAATCTAACGCTAAAAGTTCAAAAGTAGTTATGCTACAGTAATGTACGTACGTACGTACGTACATAAAATAAAAATTAGTACCATAAAAAAGGAAGGATTTTCTAGTCTAATATGCACACAAAGCCTCCCACAACAGATTTCCCCTTCAGGATCAGAAGGTATCGAGGCGCATATTATTACACTGATCCAAAGCATCAGTGTCTGAAATTGGGTTGCGGAACTTACGGACCGCAAATGATTTATAAGTTTCCGCACCTAAAATCTCAGACACTGAGCATAACCCTTATGCACTCGGATAATGTGTAACACGATCAAAACAAACGTTCGTTTTGTAAAAAATCGCTTTATTCTATAAAAAAATTTGTCAAAATTTTGTTGGAAATGTTCTAAAAATTTTCAATTT